CCTGTTCCATCTGCTGTATTTTTTGTTCCGGGCATGGTCATTGCTGGAAACTATGTAGAAGGTATTTCGCCAATCCTTCCACTTGTTTTCCTCGCCCAAAGTCATCATATAGCCTTTGTAGCTGGAGATTTGGTACCAGCCGGTCCCGCTTGATTTTGGGGTCCGACTGAGGTAATTCATTTGGGTGAACGCCTCAAAACTGGCGTCCACCCCATACATCTCACACCTAGCAACATACCCCAAGATGTTAAACCAGGAGTTTCGGGCAGGCTGCCAAAGGCCAATCTGGTAGCCGTCTAAAATCCTCTCGACGGCCGGGTGAAGAGGAAACCTAAGGCCCGCCTTAATGGCCGCCTCATAGCACCCAAAGCATTGGTCCCCATAACTGGCCGCCTCGGGCCATACTACTGTATCTTCCCTATCTGGGACGGATAAAAAATAATCACTTCCCATGAAGTGTTGGTAAAGGAAGCTCCCCAACTTCTCCATCATCACCTTCCGCCTACCATTAGGAACGTGATGATAGAACGCGGTGTGCGACTCCTTACGGGAGACCGACGGCTCCCCCCAATTTTCTCCCATTTCTACGGATAGGGATTCCCTTGCTGTCTCCATCCTAGAGTATTTTTCCTCTGAAGAAAGGGAGTGCCGACTAGAATCACTGGACTCTGACTCGTGAGTCAGATGCAAGATTTATTTGCTGAGAACCAGAAGGGACCGCCTCCTTCTCTGGAGACTCGTCCCCAGTCCTTACTGGAGAGGATCCGGCTAATGTCGTCCCCTTCTCAGAAGACCCCTCTTCAGATTCAAGAATAGAGTCGCCAGGGGTGCTTGGGGTTCCAGGCGTTTGGTCATATAGTTCACTAATGGGGATCCGGATAAAAGAGCCATCAGAATGTTCAATCCTCTTTGTTTTTTTGGTTCTTGCCATACTGTCCTGCATAGATACAAAGACAGTTGGATTCCGGGACTTGCGTAAAAATTGAAGTACCGCAGGGCAGTCGGCACCCCTAGTCCTAGACTTAGCCGTCCCCGGTGACCGGCTGATTGCTGACCTAGGCCGTGCCGGATGCTTTTGAGGCCTCATTTTCAAAAAGAAAGAAACAATGCAAAAACAAAATAAAAAGGGATAAAGGAACAGACGGTTACCTGAAACTTAAGTTCTGAAAAGAATCTTGGTCGAACAGGCGTCTAAGGAAAGCAGGCGGTTGGTAAAATCAGTCGTCCAGGAAATCAGAGCTCAAGTTTAGGGATCTGAGAGTTCTCTTTCAAAAAGTTCGCAAAATGTGAACATAAGACTTGGTCAACATGCCCTTATATAGGGTTATTCGAGAATTTGAAGGGTCACGCCCTAATTCAAAAATAGGCGGGAAAAACAGTCGGCCAATCACACGCCGACATCTGTCACAGGTGACATGTGACCAGTCACGTGCCACCTGTGAGGGGCAAATGATTTGGGGATTTTCCCCGCCCAATCACAGTCTGCCACTTGGACCAATCTGGTCCTGCCATGTGTCCGCCACATGGACCAACAGGGACCTGCCACGTGTCAAGCACTAATCAGCCCAGCATGGACCAATCATGCCACGCCACGTGGCCCATGACATGCCAACCTGGAAAAACGACCACCAAGGCCCGGTTTCCGGGAAAGGCCCAATCAGCTCTAGGTTGACCTAAACCTAGTATTGGGCACGCATCCCGAGGCTATAAATACAGTAATTAAGCCTCCATTTAAGACCATTCAGAAATAATTACTCTCACCTAGAGAAGCCTAAACACACGTGCTTTCTGATTGCTAGACCTGACTTAGCAACTAATTGCACTTCCTGATCAGTCCTCCCTTCGAGGAACCAGATCACCCTTTACTTTCCGCACCTTTTTACTCCACATACAAGTACTAACTTGATCGTCGGAGGTGGAGCTCCCACCACCAGGAGTCTCCATTGTGTTGCAGGTACAGGCGCAAGGATACCAGTCCCGGAATTGTAACTCTCCCGCAAGACATCAAAAACCCCGAAACAATAATAATAATAATAATAATAATAATAATAATAATAATAATAATAATAATAATAATAATAATAATAATAATAATAATAATAATAATAATAATAATAATAATAATAATAATAATAATAATAATAACACTACTTCTAATAATAATATTAATCACTTTTTTTTAAAAAAAAAAAATTAATTACGAAAAAAAAAGCTGACAAGACATCCACCTAAAATATCCGGATGAACCAAGGAGGATCCAGATATTTCAGGCAGATCCACCTCGAACATCCGGAAATTTAAGGCGGATGGGTAGATCCCCCTGAAAAATTCAGATCCACCTTGGTCACTCCAGAATTTTCGGCTGATTCCAGCTTTTATTTATTTTTTTTTTTTTGCGATTTTCAAGGGGAACAATGATCGTACCTGCTCGCCTCCGGTGTTGCCGCCTCGACCTTCGAAGGTCACCCGGGTTCACTGCGGGTCTGCCATCACCGAACTTCTGCCCGGATTTTTGCTCGTCTCTCTAGTGGCTGTTGGTGGTGGGTTAAGGGGGTTTCCGTATTTTTTTTAAACTAGATGGAAGCCCGTGCGATGCACGGTTTTTTCATCTAAGATTTTTAATTATTTGATTTATTGTATTTAATAAATTCAGACAAAATTACAAAAGTTTAATATTTATTTTTTTTTACTATAATTTATAATGAATTTAATAAATATAAATAAATTGTAAATATGATATTTTTTCCGTTATATAAAATCTTTAATGTGAAATGATAAATTTTAATAATTTAAATCCTAAATCATTATTCATTGTTTTACCATATCTTTTATTTCGATAGAATCACCAACCTCGTCCATAACCGACCTACTACATCAATGGATAAATTGAACCGTGAAATGTTAGCCAAACTGAAATTGATATAAATTAAATCCTTACATTTATATAAAATAAATCAATATATTTACCAATAAATGAAAAATTGTTGCGATATAAAATCAAATCTATGCGTTGGAAATTTTTTCATCATCTCCAAAAATAACCAAAGTCATCCATATATTAAGTATACAACATCTAACCGTATGTCATTACATAAACAAATAATCGTTAAGTATCCTAAATAAATACAATGTAACTAATAATTACAAATATAAATTTAAACATAAGATTTTAAAAATTATTCGGACATTGATGACCTAAAACTAACACAAAATTCGCTTGATGGGATTCTGTATTGATACGAAATTTTATTTGTGTCGTATGATGTGTTAGATCTGCATGTAAAAAAAACATCTAATAAATAAAACATAAACATATAATCGTTGAGTATCCCAAATTAATACAATGTAAGTAATAATTAGAAATACTAATTTAAACATAGGATTTTAAAAATTAAGCTAAATATTACCCGACCATTGATGACCAAAAATTAACACAAAATTCGCTTGATGGGGTTTTTTATTGATACGAAATTTTGTTTGTGTCGTATGATGTGTCAACACAAATTTTAATTTAATTATAGTTAACGAACAATTTGTATTTCTTATCATAAATACTATCAAAATTTATCTTATAATGATAGGTATCAAACTTTATTATAAGCGTTTATTATTTAAATATTTTTTATTATATTTTTTTGGATTTCTTATACTCGTAGTATTGAATTAATAAATTTATCTTTTCCTATATTTTTACTTTATTTTTTTTCATTAAAATAATTTAATTCGTGGATTATAATCTACGTGGCATTAAAATTTTAGATATATCAAATCTAATTCGTTACTTTTATCTAGGTGGCGACATAATTTTTTAATTCAAAAATAAAATACAAATCTTTCTTCTTATTGGTCGAAATAAGTATATTTTTTACGTGGCGCTCTGAATGCTCTCCAAAAATGCCTACTTTATTTATATATATATTAGATTTTAGAGAGATGAAATGAGAGTGAAGTTATGAAAGAGTTGTGATTTCACAAATGAGTGTCTTGAGTGAGTGTCGTGGCTATTTATTTACGAGGGGTAAATACGGAAGTTCATATTAAAAATGCGAGCAGTGCCTAGTAAAATGAAAGTGTTGTTTAACAACCCCCTTTTATTATACGGATTGTTATTATTATTATTAGTGAGAAAAATTATTGTTATAACTTTTTTTATTTCATGTGCTATAGCTCACAGTCTCACACGTTCGCTACTCTCTACTTCATATTACAAAATGCGTGTCTCGGTTTGACTGATACATTACAAATTCAAAACTAAATACGGAGTATCCCGTATCATAAATTACTAATCATAATAAATATAAATAATAAGAATAATATTAAAAAAGTATACATTGAAACAATTCTAGCAAGTAATCACATAGTCGCATGGCCATATGATTTTATGAAATCCTATGTATAAACCACAAACACCGATCAAAGTGGTGTACATATAATGATATAAATAGTGCAAAGTAAAAATAGAACATCTATTTTTGAAACAGAGAGATAAAGTACGCTCAAGCACAAGTAAGGCCCTGTTTAGTTCACCTTATTTTTGCTAATCTGAACTTATCTGATTTGGTCTGATCTGATTGTGTAATTTGACTAAAATTTGACCTTTAAGTGTACGATAATCTGTAAGGAAAAAATAAATCAAATGAAATCTTATTAGATTCGTAATAATGTGTATTTTATTAATATGCAATTTTAGCGATAAAAAAATTGCACATAAAACGATGATTTGATCTATACTTATTTTTTCTGATCTGAATTTATTTTTTCTGAAATAAGTAAAAATAAGTTGAACTAAACAAGGCCTAATGACAAGTCAAGTTCACCACCTACATGCTCTGTAACAAAAATGACATTAACATACTAAATGCATCATTAACATCCTTCCTGCATGTGAACCTACCAGCCACAACACCCCCAATATTGAGAGTAGAGACACACAACCATACATTATTGTCCGAGCTGCCGCCATGTACTTCATATATCACCAAAAAAACACAAGCAAGCGATGCCATGAATGAATAGAAAAATTACCATTGCACTGTTTTTTCTCCTATAATGTGTAATAAGTTATCTTCTTTCATAACTAGTTTTCCGAAAAGAGCAAGAGGCTAACTCTTTAGCTTTTCCAGCAAATAATTAGTATTGCAATTGTAGAATATCATACAATCGAAATTGCGTACAAGAAGAGGACACATTCCGTCTGCTTTTGGTAACAAACCTCAATCTAACACTACAAGATTACAAGGCTAATCCCGTCAAATGATCTTCCACGCCATGCCCAACTGATAACCCTCTAATAGGGAATAAAGATCAGCAGTCCACTAGAATTTGATGTGACTTCGACAACTGCATTGATTGCACATGAAATAGGTCATCATGCCGAATCACTAACATTTCCAGCAACTCTCATTATTTGCCCGGCCTCAAAATTTCCATTCTGCAACCAAAAACAAATTAACAAACAAAAAAGGAAAAAAGATTAATATCTAGGTTGTACATAAGATGACGGGTCTTCCAGATTTCTGAAAAACTCAAATAATTTCAGAGATCCTTTCCCAAAGCTAGTTTACCTCCTCATTCCTAGTAAAAGGAAGATTCTGTCCCCCCGGCACTGCTGATTTCGAAAGGTCTCTAAGAGTTCCCTATAAATTTCCAAGAAAGAACAAAATTAATCTTAAAGTAGCTAGCTGGCATCCAGAAAAGCAAGTTAAAAAGGAGAGAACTGTATAGATAACTCAACAAAGATACTATTATTCTCTATGTTCCTGCATATAATAGAAAAGAGACATTCCACAGCATAAATCAATTCGCAAGCATTAACATGATGCCTGCACAGTGGATAATAACAACTGAAAAATGCTACATACCTTGTTAGCCCACATAAGTCCACAAGCGTTGCAAAGAGTCCTTGGGCCTTCAGGTCCACGCCGCATCATTGGCGTAGATTTCTCACTAGTGCCGCAATGTCGGCAGCTAACGTATATGTTTGCAAACAACATGATAAAAATAAATAAAAAAGTTTAGCCTACAAAAATATAGCATATTATTAAAATGATACATGTTCATTTATGACTCATTAAGGTGTTAGTATATGCACAGCAGCAGACAAAAGGTATGCATGAAAAGCAATGAATGTTAATACCATAAAGTTGACAAAAGAGGTAGTTAAAAACAAGGAAAATAGAATCATGGAGACCAAAAACATATTAAGCCCTTTCATTAGTTATGAATCTCTTTTTCAAGAATAATTTTCAAAAGCTTGTTAAAAAATTCAATGGTTGAACCTCTACAACAGCAAGGATAGAGTGTCAGGACCTCATGTCCAAAATACTGGACAACCCTGTGCATTGAGTTCGAAAAATAATCATTAAACTTGCAAATCAAATCAGTAATTGACATTCATCTCCCCCAGTCACAACTCCCAACAACATTGCCGAACAAGACATAAATTGCATCTCAGGAAAAAGGTAAGACATTAAAACAACAATAATATAATGAAAGAGGCAAATGTAATTTAAAAATATAAAATAATCAAAGAATTACATTTACAAGTTTACAACTTTAATAGATGCAACTTTAAGGACAGTATTAAAACCGAATGATATAGACCTCATTACTCACCAGACTTCTTGTTGTATGGGTAAAGGTCCGTCTGGACCCCAATTCTGATTAGATTCCCAGCTAGTTGCACCTGAGGAGGACTCATCTTGATTAGGTTTTGAAGAAGTAAATTGACCCTTGTTTCTCTGCATCCTGAAAAAGAGAAAGCATTGAAGTAAGAGAGTCAGTTAGCACACATTCCACTCTTTCCTGATCCTATGTTCCCTTGATTTTTGATGAGAAAGAATCAAATCAGTGTTATAAACAATGACAAAGACTACAAAATAACATCAAATGAGAGAAACCTCTGCATCCAAAAATGAGTTAGTGACTGGAAATTAAAGGCAGATTAAAACTGTATTCTTGAATTAACACAGCTAATGTTAGAGAGTGCATGTGGAAGGAAAGGAATTGGAAGAATGCAGAGGGTTAAGTTTCATCACATCAGAGGCCAAAATTCTCATTGAGTTCATTATATCCACAAAACCAAGTGTAATCTGCAAGGTTTATTTGTTTTCACCCTTTATTGACTCAACTTTAGATGTGAGCGGTGAGCCCTCAATTCCATGTAAATAACATCTCATCCATGTTTTATTCACATATGCCACACCCCTAGGCTTTGATTTTACACTTTTAGGAGGGAACTCAAATCATCCTGCCAAACACATGAGTTTGCAATTTTGCATTAGCCATTGTGCATCAAAAAGGAGAATCAACATTTCGAATGTCAAATTCCCTCCCAACATCAAAGTCTAAGAATTATTTCTTTATAAAGTTCTCCAAAGACTATCATATTTGTATTCTTATGGGAGAGAGAAACTACTAACCCCACACAAATTTTTAAAACGATTTTTCCATGTCATACTTTAAGAATTTAGCACAGATAATACCATGACAAAGCACTTAGGTGCCCACAAAGAAATGACTTACCTAAGAGCCACCTCCTTGCGAACTGTGTACCGAATTTTCTTGTCAAAATTGCGTTCTTTTCTTTTTTCACGAAACCTGAGTAGTGACGCCAATCTTTGAGGGACATTGAACCTCTGTGGTGTGGGAGCCACCCCCTGATTGAACAATCCAATAGGTGAGTATACAAAGAGACAAATTAATCGTAGAGCCCAATGCTAATATGACAACATTACCCTATTATTCACAGAGGTCAACGGTGGAGCAGGAACAGTTGAAGGAACTTCACGACCCCCTAGCAAAAGAAGTACAGCTTGAACCTGCATAGGATTACATATGAATTATATACTCTTCAAAAAAAAAAAAAAAGGGCGGAAATACTATATCAAACATGCAACCATATGCAAGAAAATATCTGCTATGAACCATGGAAGATTGGAAAAAGAAGAACAATTTCATCATCCTAATCAGTCAAGGCTCAATGCACCACAGGGAAATAAAATAATGCTCAAAATCCAGCAGTAGACAATGGTTTGAGCCATATGCACATCCAATTAAATTTTCAACTACTGCAGTACACAAAAGTTTTCAACAATATAACTGCATTCCTGTTTTGCCCATTGCAGTTCAAAACCTTACACTATATGGGCTGAGAATGGCAACATAGAACAAGCCAGAAGGAGCAAAACCCAAAGAGAAAGCAATTAAACAAACTGTGCAAAGAAATGTCGCTTCTACAGCAGCAAAGACCATTAAAGATCAGAAGAAGCACCAGATGAAATCAAATAATTCCATTAATTATAAAGATTAAGGCGCTGCCGTCAATTGATAACTACGCCGTTCTGAAAGCAAAATTTGACTACTTATCTATTTTTTATGTATCCTTGTTTTGGCTTATCTGTTATACTCTTTTGGTAGTTCTTTTTATGAATTCATTTGGCCTTTTTTATGTTGAAGCAAATTTGTTGTCATTTATGCAGAAGCAACAAATAGACTACTCAAAATAATCAATTAGACAACTGTAATGACCTTCGCAGTTTTTTGGGTATGATTAATTTAAACAGATTAAATTAACAATTTGAATTTTTGGTACATCGATCTATTGATCTCTCTGAGAATATTGGAGCTGCTACATAATTTATAGGTGCATTGGTTTCAAATACCAAAATTAAATGATTTGAGTTGATTTTGTCGTTTGCCAATTTATGAGTAGCCAACGATTCGTCCAAAGAGCTATATTTGTCTTTAACATATTATAGAACGGCAGCAACAATGAAGTTCCATGCATAGAGGTTCCAGCACGAAACAGCCAATAATTGAGCATAAAGTTGAGTTTTGGCCTTTTGTGATTTAACAAAAAATGTCAGCATCACATTAAAGTGTTCTGCATTAATCCAACAAGCAACAAGCAAGTACAAGCGTTGATTGGATTTAGAATCTTGTTTGTCCTTTACTTTTGTTAGCTATTAGATATGCTTCCTGCCTTCCATAATAAACTGAGTTGTATCAGAAATAGATAGTAGGTTTACCTTAGTTAAAATTATATCCTAAATTTTAAATTCTTTGTTTTAGGAAAAGCCTATATAAGAGGCTTAAGGATGTAACTATTGAATGGCTCATTTGTTTAATCATATTGGTATTTGTTCCTAAATTCTTTTTGGAGAAGTGTGGCTTCAAACATGAGAGAGCAATGTAATGAATCAAAATTTAGATCAAACTAGATAGGTAAGTGAAGCCTCTTTAAATTAGTCTAAAACCCCTCTAAATTTGAAATCTAAGTGAGTGAACTTATAAGTCAAATTTAAGACAGAGATCGGCTAATAGCCTACAACTAAGTGGTTCAAGTGTAAATCAAGGCTAAACTCCAAATTTGGAAACTATGACGTTCTAAATTGATATGTGCTTTTACCCCCACAGAGACCAAATAAACTGGTTTAGATGGTGCCTTTGATGAAGAGAGCGACAAAAAACAAAGCCAAAATCACAAAATTGATATAATGAAACTATGTCCATATGCGCTTGGAGTTCTATACATCTTTTCTCCAGAGAAATTCTCTCATCCCCCCTCCTTCCAAAATAAAAAGCAAAAAGAAACTATCCAAAGTACACATAGAGAACCTTTAATATACTAATATTTCAATTAATCAATGTCAATATCCATTCTACGCATTCTAAAAGTAACAATCTATTTGGTCCAAGGAGATAATTATCTTCATTGGTTTTATTCAACATTAATAGACTCCTTAGAGGCAAAACATTACCATTACAGGAAAATATTTCTTTTCATTCCTTATGGAGGATGCAAGGGAGCTTCAAATTGAAAATGTTCAACTTATTCAGCTAAATTTTCCCATTAAAAACTTTATACCATAATATTTTAACCACTACCATTGGATAAGTCAATTCTCAATCAAGTTATGTGGACATGTCTAACAACCAATGAAGCTTGGATTCTACGAATTCTTATTAATGTGTCACTAAATTACACATATAATTCATCACCAAGTCATGGTGCTAAAGAGTGCATTTCTTATACGTGTAGACATGTGGCATAATAAAAAAATTCACAAATAAGCAATGATGACTATCAACCAGATGCACTTAATGCAAGATATAGAACAGCAAGCAACATATCAGACAATCAGCTAAGTGAAAAAGGAATTACCTTTTCAGGTGAGACTGAATCAAACACATAAACCTGACCCTGAAACGAAAGAGTTAGCTGATTGTTATCGCCATTAGCCACCATCATTCCACCATGGGTATCAGAAACATTTCCAGGGTCATTATGGAGCTCCCCATCAATGCCTTCACCTACACCCGTAACACCATCATCATGATCATCCTCCATCACATTCCCATTATTCATATGATGCATCTCATGACTTTGGTCATGCATATAATGTACATGCATTTGTTGCTCAGCCTCAGTCATATGCATTTGGGCATCGTCGCCATGCAAATCATCCATATTGACAACAACCCTTTATTAACAATACCAGCCAATAAATTGTAATTAGTATACAGTCCCCTGCCTTCTTATTTCACTCCTCCCACTTAATATATGTTTACAGCAATACAAGCACTGTACTTGTTATACATACACAAACATCTCTTCCTCATTACAGCACATTGGGATCCAAATGTCACTTCCTCATTCTTTCTCGCGCTCTCTCTCTCCTTCTCCCTTAGCCTCCACCACCTTGCCCAACTCTGTGGAAATATATGCACATTTCAGTTTTAACAGCTCTACCAAAAAATCAATGCAGTTACAATATCAATGCTATCAATTTGCATGAACCCTAACACAAAAAACAAAGCCAATTCATTTTTCTACATTAATTTGCCTATGACTCAAGCCCGACCCCGAGCCGGGGTAAGAAGGGCATCTCTCCAGAGCCCAGGGAGAAATTTTCCATTTTCATACTTCCATCTTAACATTTTAGGGCTATAAACAAACACCCTCAACACATTAGCAACCAAAATTTGATTCAATTATCAAATTAGGCTCGAAAATCACAAAAAAAAAAAAAAAAAAAAAAAAAAAAAAAAAAAAAAAAAAAAAAAATCCATCTTGCTTAAGAATATCAACGTAAACCTAGCAATATATTCGCTCATTGTAAGCTTCCATAAATTCAGTAATTATAATCAATAATTTAATATTCCAGCTTACAAGAACCCTAAATTGACTATACTGACAATTAAATTAACGATAAACCCTAGATTATGAAATTGATATTATTTGAATTAAAACTTATTTAACAGAAAATCATCTTACCACATAAGCTGCTTCAATGGAGGAGAGAAAGTTGAGAAACCGGTTGAATTGAGAACTCAGAGTTCTTCAATGGAGGACAGAGAAAGGAGTATTACGTAAAGGTGACACGCATGTTTAGACAATGGTCAGATCTATGTAATTATCAACGGCCAGAATTTTTTTCATTTATGTTTTCTTTTTACATAAATAGTTTAATGTGTTTTTGAGTAAATATTTTAAGTCCTTTCCCTTAATATTGTTGGGAAATTATCTAATTCTCAAATTACAGCTAATCTTTTTTTAATTCCCACCATACCATCCACGTCAGCTAAGGAAAAAAAATCAGTTTTTTTTTATCGGTCCAGTAACAAACCGCTACTTGAAGTAGCGGTGTTATGGGAATAAACCGCTACTTCACCGCTACTTGGAGTAGCGGTTTCCTGCTATAATGTAAAAAAAAAAAGTTCTTTCACGTTTTGTGGCGGTTTCCACGAAACCCTTAATTACATACAATAACAGCACAAGTTTCTCAACCACCAAATTTGCACAGCTGGTACTCTATCAATTGCTATAACAACTGAACAAGATTATTATCAATTCCCTCCAAATAATATTCTCAGATTACACAAGATAATCACAGAAATTATGATATACCCAGTAAAATTCTGACAAAACCCAGATCAAATTGCACAAAACCAGCAAAACCCAGATCAATTATAGACAAAACCCAGATCACAAACTCAGAAATTAAGATGAGCTACAAGTTTATGAATGAAATTGAGAAAACCCCAGATCAAGAACAGACTTTTGAAACAAACCCAGTTGATAATTTTCTGAAAATGACCAATTTAATTCAGAAACTTCCATATATTCCAATAGTATCTGAATTCAAACCTCAACTGTCCATCACAATTTTGAATGTAAATGAATGAGAAAAAGGAAAAAAACGAAAGAATTTTGATACCCACACAAATTCCTGCTATAACATGAGAGAGAACAAATATACGAAGTACTTTATATGAATGCTTTTTTAAAAAAAAAAAATTGCTCGTATTATTTTGATACCCACAACAGGTGGCGGTTTTTTAAGATGAAAACCGCTACTTCAAATAGCGGTTTATAAGATAAACCGCTACTTAAAGTAGCGGTTTTCTGTAAAAACCGTAAAAATAAAAAACTCGCTTGAACCGGTGACGTGGACGGTAATATGAGAATTAAATAAAAAGAGACGGTATATATGGAATTGAGTCTTTTTTCAACAATATTTTGGGAAAGGATTTTTGCCAAAAAAAAAAAATATTTTTGAGTAAATAAATATTATTTTCTTCTATAATATGATTAATGTTATGTTCTTTACACAAAAATTAAGAAAGTAGGATATCAAACTAGATTCATTGGTTCGAAACAATCAGAGTAATAATATTGAAACAAATAACAATTTTTTTTCATAAAAAAATATAAACAATAACGCTTCATTTGATCTTATACTCTATGTATAAATGGATGTTCAACATGATATCATATGATTGCTTGCCTCTTTCTATGCCTACTACGTATAAATCACTCCATTGTATACGAAGTATAGTTTATGTTTGGTATTTTTCTCAAAAATTACCCCTTGCTAAACCTAATAGGAACAAATTGCAAACGAGAGAGAGTTTATTGGAACAAATTGCAAATTGAACTTGCTACACTTGAAAATTATTTTTTAAAGGTGAATAGAACATTCATTTTCTAGAATCTAATATATATATATATATATATATATATATATATATAAAGGGGAATTTTTTTTCGAGATTTTAGAGCACCACGTAGGATTTTAATTTTTAAAAAACCTATTAGAGCGCCATGTAGGATTAATATTTTTAAAACGCTACAATAGGATTATGCCACGTAAGATTAGTTTTTTTAAAGCGCTATATAGGATTATAATAATAAAAAAAATTTAAAAAAAAGCCACGTAGGATAAATATTTTTAAAATGCTACAATAGGATTATGCCACGTAAGATTAGTTTTTTAAAGCGCTATATAGGATTACGATAAAAAATTATTAGAGTGAAACATAAGATTATTATTTTATTATCATAAATAAAATTAAATGATTTATTTGGGTGATTAATGAAACCGATAAATTTTTATAAAAAATTACAAATATTATGAATATCAATATTATTATTTAGATAAAAGGAATATTATTATTTAGATAAAAGTAAGGGATCAAAGTAAGAAATATCAATTATTGAGCTAGCATATTTAACCTTCAATCAAAAGTGAAAATAAAAAGGACAAAAATGTTGACTCGAATAAATGGAAAATTATGTTGTTTGTAAACATACGATGGGAAATTAGAAGTTTTCAAAAAAAATTTCAAAGGAAATTTTAAATTAGAGATAGAGTGTCACATAGGAAAATGTTATATTTTAGTCAATGAAAAAAATGAATAGCAATTTATTTAAGATCTAAAACTTTCTATTAATTACAAAAAAAAAATCAGATCGGACATTTTCTGTGTGATGGTGAGCTGGTCATATCGTGTGGCTTGTTGAGACACACTAAAATATTAGTCGGGTAACCCTTGACCGTCCGAGTAACCATTGATCGATCGAGTAATCCTTGACCAACCGAGTAACCCCTAATCAAGTAATCCAAACCACATGCTAAAATATTATCTTTTTACATAAGAAATTTTATCTAAATATGAGGAACAAAATTAAAAATTCATTTTATAATAAAAATTCAAGTAGTAAACAAGCGAAAATCACATAATTTATCAAATAAATATATTTTTGGTAAAATATTTTATTTGAAAAAATACAAACCAATCATGCATCGCACGGGCTTCATCTAGTGTTCATATAATTTGGAACATAATCTAATATTATATTATATCATATCACTAATATATAAAGTCGATCTCGCAGCCAGGCCACGAGACATCGACACTTGGTGATTCGGGTAAAAATACCCGGGACACGTGGCCCAATTAGAGGGTGACACGTGTCACCCTAGGAGAGGTTCAAAGTGAAGCAATCCTCAGCTGACACGTGGCACTGCCAATCGGTAGGGAAAAAAGACGGCCTTTAGGGCCCAATTCCCTGGAAAAAGCCGCAAAACGGCGCAGCCACCCAAATCTAGGTCAGGATGACCTAGGTAGGGGCACATTTACCAATGACCTTATAAATAAGGGGATTTATCCCACTTTGGGGACACGTTCAATTATTACCACACCATCAATTCTCTCACATTAGAGAAAACACCTAATCTTGGAATCCGAGAAGATCTAGATTTACCTTTTCCGCACCTACTTTCTCCATACACGTTCTAACTTGATCGTCAGAGGCGGAACTCCACCCAACTGGAGTCTCCGTTGTTTTGCAGGTACAACCGACGGGAAATCAGTCTTGGTGACGTAACTCTCCCGAGGGACAAAAACCCCGAAACATGCTTTGATGAGTTTTATGGATGCCTATTTCGGCTTCCATCAAATAGCCCTATGGAAAAAAGATCAAGAGAAGACGGCATTCGTCACTGATCAAGGGTTATTCTGCTATACTGTGATGTCGTTTGGCTTGAAGAATGCGCCTGCTACTTTCCAACATATGATTAACTTGGTCTTCATTAATTAGATTGGAAAGAATGTAGAGGCGTACATTGATGACATGATAGTCAAATCCAAGCTACAGACGGATCACCTTGCTGACCTCCGAGAAACCTTCACCGCACTCAGGTGGCACAAGGTAATGCTCAATCCCAAGAAGCGTGTCTTTGGTGTTGAGTCTGGGAAGTTTCTCGAATTTTTTATTAATTAAAGGGGGATAGAGGCCAACCTAGAGAAGATACAGGCAGTTAATATGAAATCACCCCGCACTATAAAGGAAGTTTAGAAATTAACTAGTTGTCTGGCGGCATTGGGGAGATTCCTCAACCGGTCAGGTGACAAGTGCCTCTATTTTTTCCAAGCAATCAGAAAGAAGACCATGTTTGAATGGGGGATGATGCTGAGGCGGCCTTCCATAAGTTGAAACAACATTTTCATTCCTTGCCAAGGCTTGTCAGCCCTTTGCCCAAGGAGACACTTTACATGTACTTAGCCGTCTCAGATTATTCTCTCAGCGCTGTTCTCCTTGCTAAGAGAGCGACAATCAGCTACCGGTTTATTTCATTAGCCATACACTTCAAAATGAAGAGCTCCGGTACTCTATGATTGATAAATTCAGCCTCGCCTTGTTCATGGCAGTCAAGAAATTGAAACCTTACTTTTTGGCACATCCGGTGGTAGTCTATATATACCAACCCCTCAAGTGGCCAATGACAACTTTAGAGTCATCCGGCCGAATGCTCAAATGGGCTATTGAAATGGAAAGTCTTGAAATCTTCTTTGAACCAAGGAAGGCAGTGAAGGATCAGGCGTTTGCCGACTTCATTGTTGAAATGTCCCGTTCGGTAGAGCCGAAAAATTTGGATCAGGTTTGAAAATATATGTAGATGGCAGCTCTACTATGAACGGTTGTGGTGCAGGGATAATATGTCAGTCTCCAGAGGGGGAAAAATATGAGTATGCACTACGGTTCAAATTTCAGGCCTCGAATAATGAGGCAGAATATGAAGCCCAGTTAGCCGGTATCCGCTTGTGCAAGACGGCAAGGGCAAGAAAAATTGACGTCTGCTCTAATTCTTAATTGGTAGTTAGCCAATACCATGGTGACTGTGAGGCCACCCATCCGACTATGATCAAGTACTTGCAGGCGGTCAGAGTAGAGGCTGGGACACTTGATGAATTTCATTTAAGTCAAGTGCTCTGGTCGGAGAATAATCAGGCGGATGCTCTTTCTAACTTGGCATCATTCGCCTCTTGTGATACACCACGACCAGTCTTCTGAGAGGTAATGGAAAAACGAAGTATTGAGGAAGATCCTATTGGAGTTCTTGACCGGAGTTCAACCTGGATGGACAGCATCCGGGCATATCTGCTAGACGGCACATTGCCGGATACATACCCAGAAATGGATGCAATGAAAAAGCATGCGACTAACTTTGAGATCCGAAAAGGAGAACTTTTCAAGAAGGGCTTTCCACAATCTTCTTGAAATGCATCACCCCTTAGAAGGGGCAGGAAATTATGGAAGATCTACATTCGGGCTTCTGTGCCTCACACATAGGCGACAGAGCTCTAGCAGAAAGGGTCAGGCGGCAAGACTATTTCTGGCCCACTATTGAGGCAGACACCATGGAAATGGTGAACAAGTGGTATGATAAGTGTCAAATATTCGGCAAACTCATACACCGTCTGACCACTGATATGACTGCCATTCATAGCCCAGTACCATTCGTCAAATGGGGCATGGACATTTTGGGTCCGTATACGCCTGCGCCAGGCAGCCGGAGATATATTCTAATTGTCGTTAACTATTTCACCAAGTGGATAGAGGCAGAGGCGGTCAAAGGCATCAAGACAAAGGATGTCATCTCCTTCATCTAGAAGAACATCATCTTCCGGTTCGGGGTACCTATGTCTATGGTCTTTGACAATGACCCTCAGTTTGAGACACCTACCCTCAAGAATTGGCTAGGGCTGAGCAAAACTATCTGATAATCCGAAAATCCGAAGTTCCGATCCGTATCCGATCCGAAAATTTAGGATAACCGATCCGAAAATTTCGGATATCGGATATCGAAAATTTCGATTTCGGATATCCGAATATCCGAAAAAAAGTTAGATATCGGATATCGGATCGGATACCCGATCCGAAAAAAACACTTTTTTTACAAAAAAAAAAAAAAAAAAAATATTTTACAAAAATTCCGAAATTCGGATAACCCTAAGTCCCTAATGTAATGCGCCTCTTTCTCTTTCTCCTCTATTTTCTCCCTCCTCCCTCCTCTTTGGCTTTCTCATCTCAGATCTTCGTCCTCCCTCCTCTCTCATCTCAGATCTCCTCATCTCCCTCTTCATCTTCTGCTCTATAGGCCGCCATTATCGGCAATTT